TGGTTTTTGGTTTGCCGTCGATTGGATATGATGATGGCGATTTTGTTAGTGATTGTGTGCAATGACAATGTCTGGCCGTAGGGTGGTTGTGTGTGGGATGATATGAGATGAGGGTGGGTGTATGTGACCGTGACCTACAAATTATGACCGTGACCTCACTATAATCTATTTTTTTTCAATCTGTGATCTATAAAAAATTTTAATTCATGGCTAAGAAATCACTTGTGACCATAAAATTTTTGATTTGTGACTAGAAAAGAAGTTGTGACAAACTTTGATCTGTGACCAATAAAATAATCTGTGACCTATAAAATTATTGATTTGTGACTTCGAAATAATCGGTAACTTATAAAATTTTTCGATTTGTGATCGAGAAATAATATGTGACCTATAAAATTCAAAAATCAATACATACGGGTCACGGATCTATATGATCAATTAATTTGATAGCTATGACCATATTGTATAGAACTGTGGTTAATTATTTNAATCAGATTTCAAGTTTTAATGTTTAAAAATTAGATATTTTATATATAGATACATATTTTTTATATTTAATTAAATATTAATAATATTATTATGAGCCCAACCCAAAAAAAAATAATTTTCAACTCTAAATTCGCGTTCCTCTCTCTCCATCTCTCACTCATTCTCTCTCTCCGTCTCTCTTTCTCTGCCCAAAATCGCAGCTTCAAGGCCGCCGTCGGCACACTGCGATAGCACCGCGCGCTAGCGCTGCCTTTCACAGCTCGCCCTCCCTCCCTAATTCACAACTCGCGACGATGCCCTAATTCGCACTGCCGTCCACAGTAGCGACGTTGTGCGTAGGTGTGTGGCGTCGCGACGCTGCTGGCTCCAATCACTACCCGAGAAGGATTTCTCAAGTAACATTGCTAGTGTCTCAGTTTGATGTATCACGAGTTTTTAGGCTGTTTTTATTGGTGGTTGTTAGTGTTATGTAAACGGTGGTGGTGGTGATTGTGCTTATTTTGCTATGGTTGTGTAGTGATTTTGTTGGTGGTGATCGTGTTGGTGGGGGTGGTGGTAGTTTTGTGGATCTAATATTTTGGTTGTGGTTGGGATGTTGGCTGTGGTGGTGGCAGCAATATTGTTGGTGCTGGAGATTGTCATGGTTTTTGATTTGCCGTCGATTGGATATGATGATGGCGATTTTGTTAGTGATTGTGTGCAATGACAATGTCTGGCTGTAGGGTGGTTGTGTGTGGGATGAGATGAGATGAGATGAGGGTGGGTGTATGTGACCAATTATTTAATTGACTGTGACCTATAAAAAATTTTAATTCATGGCTAAGAAATCACTTGTGACCATAAAATTTTTGATTTGTGACTAGAAAAGAAGTTGTGACAAACTTTGATCTGTGATCAATAAAATAATCTGTGACCTATAAAATTATTGATTTGTGACTTCGAAATAATCGGTAACTTATAAAAATTTTCGATTTGTGATCGAGAAATAATATGTGGCCTATAAAATTCAAAAATCAATACATACGGGTCACGGATCTATATGATCAATTAATTTGATAGCTATGACCATATTGTATAGAACTGTGGTTAATTGTTTCGTCGTTAAGGTCACAGGTTTGAGGTCACAGATCACAGTCACAATCGTTAAGATCACGGATCATAGTCACAGGTTAATTATAAGTCACAAATCAATATAAACGGGTCACATGTTTTGCAGAGTCACGGTTAGGAGCAGCAGCCGAAGTTGGAACAATTTTTCGGAATCGGAGCAGTCACCGAAACTGTCGTCTTACGGCCGTCGGAGCAACATGAGTGGTGGAGGTGGGGTGAATTAATTATATATATATATAGATATGATTTTTGAAATTTAAAAGTT